TCATCCTCCTCAAGGTTAAAATAGTAAAGAAATTTTGTAACCGTAGAAAACTCGTCATTACCTCATAGACGCCAGAAGAGGAAGAAACTGGTCATGACAGCCCATCCCATGGGTGAAAGACGAGAGGGACACAAGTTACAATAGGCTAAAATAAACCCAATAGAGGGATAAATGGGAAGGCGCAGACCTAACTCCAAAGCTGCTTCAAAGAAGCATGTCTTGCCAGGAGGAAGGTAATTACAAGGTTCGTCGAAGCTTGAAGCAAGTAGAGGTAACTCTAAATCAAGAAAGAATTTCTTCCTTATCCTCCCTAAATTAGAGGACGTAACCACTAAGGGAACAAAGTAGCAAGTATGCCACATCCACTCAACCCCAAAGGAGGTTCGCTCTTGAAACAAAGCAGAAAAGGGAACATACATAGTGGATTCAAGCAAGAAAGAGAAGAAAAGGAAATAGAAGACGTTAAACCCTCAAGAATAACAAAGGGATACCCGGAGGAAAGTGATAGCCAGTACTTATAGGAATCTTTTGAAGACCCCAGATTTTTAGGAAGTTGTTAATTACACGAAACCTTAAGTCGGTGAGTCTCTAGGTTTCCAAATTAAGGGAGCAGGAATCTTTTTGGTAAGAAGGTTATGCATCGAAAGCAGACATCAATGACACCCCGGGATAAAACAAACAGGCCTCCAAAGAGTTTGGGCAGACGCAGGTTGAGAAGCTAGAAGCTCAGCTAGGTTGAGAAGATGGAGGCTCAGCTAGGCACGTCAGCAGCTATTCCTATCCCTTTTTGCCTCAAAGAGGTCTAAATGACCTTTTGAAGCAAGGGGGGAGAGTTGAGGAGTGTTTGAAGAGTTGAGGAATGTTATATCTGAGAAAAGTTGTTAAAAAGCAAACTTGTGAAGTTACATTCCAAATCAAAGGAGGTACAACCATAAGTTAATAGATTTGAAGTTACAAAAAAAAAAAATTTCTCTACATCCTAAATTTCTGATGGGGGAGTAAGGCTAGAACTCTGTTGGTTAGTTGCTGGAGCTGGGACAGAAGCAGGTTCAGGAGCGGGAAGCTCAGTAGAAGAGATGGGCAAATTAACAGAGTTTGGGCAAGATCCAAAAATGGGAGCTTCTAAATGTGGGGCCTCTGTAGTAGTTGGAAGAGCTGAAGCTTCAGCAGCAAGGTCAGCAAAAGGAGGGAGCTCGGCAACAGGGTCCTCTGAAGAGCCGGGGGGGCACTTTCTCTTCCTGCTGTAACCGCCTCTGTACCTTCAGGGGGCACCCTCACCTTCTGCTTCAACCATCTCTAGGCCCTCATCATCAGGGATATCAAAGTTGAAATCGAGGTCAAGGTAGGTCTCCTCAGCTCTTTCCTGAAAGGCCAACCACCCAAAAGCCCATTTTGTGGTGACATCATCTCACAGCTTGGCAATGTCTTTGTCCCTTGCAGATACATCAGCCTTAAACCCTTCAAGCTCGCTGCAAAGGGCTCCGCTTGCCTTAGATAGAGAAAAAAATCTTGGGTTAAGCTTGCAAAGGAGCTCTGAGCAGCAGAAGCCTCCTTGTTAGCCTTGGCCTAGGTATCCCTAGCCTTTTTCTCCCCCTCCTCAGCCTTGGCCTTCGCAGCTATTAAGCCCTCAATGGTGGAAGTCTGTTTCTCCATTTTGTCTTGAAGTTCTTGCAATTGAGCTTGCAGGTCATCATTCTCAAAAGATAGCTTGGATACCTTAATTTCTTAAGCTTTCACCATTTTGACAAAATTTTTTGTGAAAAGGACCCTGTTCATCAAGCTCTTTGCATAAATAGCAGACTGGGGACAAGAGGGAAACAGATAAAAGTTAGTGAAGTTCGGGTAAAAAAAAATGGAGCTTATTGAATCCTCAAAGGACATTAAGAGAGCCCTTTTTACATCTGAGTTGGGAAGAATAGAAAAAAGGGCTTCAGCAGCGAGGTCAGGGCTATCGAGAAAAGATCCTTCACTCTTTTCTACCTTGAGATGCTCCTTCTTCAAAGCCTTGGAGCTTTTAGGAAGGGGTCGAGAAAATGATGCAGAGGGGGGATCGAGAGAGGTCAGGATTTGGGTGGTCTCCTCCAGAGCTCTCTTAACCTCAGAGACTGAAGGAGATACCTGTCCTAAAGCAGCGGCGCTTGGAGCAGAAAGTGAAACACCTTGAGAGGGGAGATCTGGGATAACTGGGGCAGAGGAAGTATGTGACATGCCAGTCCTGGGCACCTTAGTAGGAGGTATGGAGCCATCGCCAGAGCTAGGTTCTGACTTGCACTTACCACCGCTCTTGCTGCTACTCTTGATCTTCTTCATTAGAGAAAGCTTGGCCTTGAGTTCAGCAGTAGTGGGCTCCATTGAGGATGAACCTGGGAGACCTAAAAATAGCTAAGCCTCGTTCTTTAGCGGAGAAAAGAAGATAGAGGAATCAAAGGCAGGAGGAAAGTGTTACCTAATATATCTTCGGCAGAAAGCGAGGTGGGGCCAGCAACGAAAAGTGGAAGGGGAGCTTCAACCCTCACCTCAGGCAAGCAGAACCCGCGTTCTACGAGAGTCCAAGGTTGGATGAGCTTAGAGTATTTCTCTGGTTTTCACTTTTTCAATTTCTGCAATACTCACTCATCTTCAGCGCTGAGCTCAGGTCGGATACCTAGAAAACCAAGGAAAACAAGAAATAAGTTAACAAAATAGCCAGGCTTGGATTAAATACGGTCTGGGCAGAAACATACCTAAATTATCGGGGGCAGACCACTCTGTAGGGATGGGGAGGGTATCAATTTTATCCTCTGAGTTGAACTCCCACTGTGTACCCTCTACAAAGAAAAATTATTTTTTCCAGCCCTTATGGGAGCTTGGGAGGTCAAAGATGACCTGTTTGGCCTTAGTTCTCTTGGAAATATAAAAAAAAAATTGTCATAGGAGGTCTGCTTGACATTGAACAGCTCCATAAGTATGGAAACATTAGGGACCCCAAGCTTATGGTCCTTAAAGAAGACTAGTAAACCCACAAGAACACCCCAGAAGTTTGGGGAGAGCTGAGCAGGGCATACATTGAAGTGTTGAAAGACACCTTTGATAAAGGGATGAATAGGGAAGCGAAGTCCGTTATCAAAAGCTGTCAGGAAGAAACAGACCTTCTTGTGGACATGGTGAACATATGTGGTGTACGTATCAGGACTCCAGAGCTGAACCCCTGGGGGGAAACGAAAGTGAGCACTGAGAACCTTCAGGTCAGAAAGGGTAAGTCCGTTGGGACCTACAAGTTTAGCGTTCCTAAAGGTAGCCCCTGCGCCTGAAACAATAACTCCCACACCACTTACTTTGCCTTTGCCCTTATCAGGTGTATCAGGAATGGGAGAAGAGGTGGAGGGGGCCTCCTCAATTTTCACCTCTACCTCGGCAGAATCTACACCAGGAAAGTTGTCAATCTCGTCACCTACATCCCCTAAATCAAAATCTCTTTCGGCAGACCTATCACCTAATAGGGAAATAGAGGAAGGAGTTGCTCCAGAGAAGGCAGACATGATTGGTAGAGAGAAAGACAGATTGAAAGAATGATGAAGAGGAGGAATACTAATCAAACACCCCCTAATAATCCTAGGATCAGCACTGTACCCCCTAATGGTAAGAATTCGCACAGTGGAGTTCCTATCCACAAAGCGGGGAATAGGAGATAAACAACAATCTCGGTTTCAAAAGTAAAAGAACCGAAAAACCCAGAAACAAAACGGCCACCTCGAATTCAAGGGCTCCAGAGTAGGGAAAGGTAAGAGAAAGAGAAGGGGGCAGAAAGGGCGTACCTAGACAGGGAAGAGATCAGCGAATAGCAACCGAGGATGAAATTGGAGAGAAGAAGCAAAGCAAGACTTCGAGGGGTACCCAAAAAATGAAGTCTTGAGCAGAGAATGAGTGAATCGTGTGTAGGAAAGCCCAGAAATTGTAGAGGAAAAGGGGCAGAGGCAAAGGTGAACATCGTAGAAGATGAACAGAGAATTTTGAGCGATTTTTGGGTAGCCGTTTGAGGATTTAATGCTTGAGTGACGTGGGCTGAAACATGCACAAAAATCGAGGAAGTCATGATTGTTGTAAGCCGTCAAAGAGCCCCCCACGTGCATCTCACATGCGAACTAAGGTCAGCTAGGTGCAGGCCTGGTCCAATGAGAAAGCAGCTCAGCCCATGCCCAAGCTCGCTTGAACCAAGGGCTGGGAGGCAACTGATGATATCTAAAATAAATTCCAAGTGCTAAGCTCAGGAGGTCAGCTCGGACCAGGAGGTCAGACACATTAGCAGAGGTCAGAGGCTAAGGGCCGAGTGTCTCTTAAGGCAAGATAATAACTGGATAACCATGAGAGGATCTAAAGCGTTAGGAAACTGTAATTAAGGCACCCTATCTCAACCAACCAAGATCTTCTCCTAGAATTAAGGAGAAACCCAGGAAATAAGGGCAATAATCTCAGCTAAGATCCTTCTTAGCAGGGAAGGGCCTTATAAATGCAAGGTAACACCCCCTAATAGGGGGGGAACCCTAGTGGCAAAAAGAAGCCACAGCAACCTTGTAATCACCGTGAATAAAACAAAAGGAGCAAGAGCCTCTATTCCAGAGTGGACTAGCCGAACTCTCAAGCTGGTGAACCACTATAATTTTGTTGTCTTAACATCCAAAGCCCTAGATATTATTGCATCATCTTAGCAACCTAACGTAATCACAGCTCATCTTTTGTAAAAGTGCGTTAACGCCATCACTTGGTATCCCTATTCCCACTTTCTTCTCCTCCAAAACCCTAGCAATCAACCCTTGGTCTCCCAAGTAAGGCAGCATAATCAATGGCCGCCCAAATTGGAGTCCTTCAATGACTGAACTCCAGTCGCAGCGAGTCACGAAACCACCCACCGAGTCATGTGCTAGTATCCTGAGTTGAGGCACCCAACTAGTCCATACAACTCCACGACCTTCGGTTCGCTCTAGGAACCCATCTGGTAACTTAAATGAGTTGGCCGAGTCATGTTACTTCCTTAGAGCCCAAAAGAAGGGCAGACCACAAAGCTTTAACACTAGAGCCAACTCTGTGAGTTCAGCTTGACTCGGTGTCACCTCGCTCCCGAGTGCTATGTATACAACAGACTCTTTCTCTTGTATGTCCAGCCATACATTGATTGTGTGCCAAGTATCATCCTTGCCACCCTTGTCGCCTTGGAATGAGGGTGGCAATAAACCTACTGCAACAACTGGCTTTTGTTGGAGCTCTTGCAAGAGGTGCAACCAGCTAGGTTCAAGCTCTGTATAGCTCCTTATGAGAAACACGTCGCATCCCATTACAGTCTTCCCAAAACGCAACGCGTCTGAAATGCCAAAAATATTATCATCAACACTGTTGTACAATCTCTTTATCTCATGGAGCCAAAAAGCGATACAAGATGGAAATGGAACCCATTTCGGTGCTACGGTAAAGTCCTCCAGCTTCGTACGATAATCAGCGGAGTTCGCCATGGTGATCGCCGATCCAAAGAAAGCCCCGGACCATGCATTGACTGTACTAAAGAAGGCAAGTGAAATCCCAAGTTGACTTGCAATTTGGGGCAACCAGTGAGGGGGAAAGTCATAGATGATCCAATCGAGGTTTGAGATCTTGAGGAACTGAGTCAACTCAGTTTGGAGACCATCGAAGGCTTTTTTCAAATATTGGACCTTGTCGTAGGGCACGTCAATGGTGGCCTCGTGTGTTCAGGGAGGTTGTCGACTCGGGGTAAAGGGAGCTTCACTAAACTCAGTAGAGGAGCTGAGTTTGGAGGAAATTTTGGCAATCGATCAATGTTTCTAGGGGTTGATATGAAGGAGACTTTGTGACCCTTTCCAGCTATGGGCTTGGAAAGCTCTAAGAATGGGATAATATGACGAAAGGCTAGCCATGGGAACAAAACTACGTGTAGCTTATCAGCTTCAGCCATGGACTCTCTCTCTTCTCTGATGCATTTATAAAAGATAATGCATAAAAATATAATGCATGTATAAAATGATAAAGTCGTGTTCTTCATCCCTACTAGACAATGGCAACAAGTATAATTTATGAACTTACATTTCCCATGCAATGCGTAATGGAGATACCGGAGATCCACACTATATTGTCTTGAACAATGCTATTGAGACCTAATTTACTGACATAATTTGCTGATTTAATTTAATATGACTTTTGGATTAATTGTGGGCTCCATCAAATATTAGAACTTGGTGTTTATCTAATAGTTCCAATGAAGCCACGTTATTAAATTAACAAATTATGTCAGATTTTTAGGTTCAAATATCATTTTTCTATTTTCTTGGGGATGATCAATATGAGAATATCCCAGAGGGTATAAAGGAAGAGCAAGTTGGCGACCATTAATTAATTACCGAAATAGAAGACTTAAGTGAAATAATATCAAAATTGCAAATGTGATCTCCATGCATCATATATCTATACATTTGATACAATATCAAAATTGCAAAACAAACACTAGTTAAAAATATATCCTTAAAAAAGCTAAAAAAAAAAAAGACAGGAAAAGGAAAAAGGGGAAGGGGGTGCCGGGGGGGGGGGGGGGGGGGGGGGTGGTTGCAGTGACAAATGCATACACAGATCAAACAAATCTAAAGTTACCTTTACCAGAAGATTAATGACTTCAACCAGAAAATTAGGATAATTTCTCAGGAGAAAGGAGGTATTGCATTTTAACATGTTACAAGCTACCATGGTTTCAAACTTTAAAACAACTTTTGCAAAGTAATTCCCAAATAATTGCACTCACCCACAGGTATCGGTTAAACATATATATATATATATATATACACACACACACATACACAGATCTGTTTATATGTGTAGATTTGTGATTGAACACTCAAACTAGGAATTTTTATTGAACTTGGTGATATGTGGTCATCATGTAATTATCAGGTTGTTTAGCTGATATTGTTATCAGGCTGTGTAGTTGATATGGAATAAGTAATATTGTTATTAGGTTGTTTAGCTGATATTTTTATCAGGTTGTTTAGTTGATAAGGAATAAGTCAAGATCAGGTTGTTTTGATTTGGTTGTTATCAGGATGTTTAGGAGCTGCAAGTTTATCTCCAAATCTTTAGCAACATTGTTATTCCTTCATGTATTTAAAGCTTGGTTGTGTTCAATAAAAAGGGGATATAATACCCAAAACTATTTCTTCTTCCGCCTCCACTATTATTCTCCTTCTTCCCAAATTTTACGTATCAGTAGTATCAGAGCGCGGTTCCAATCATGGACACTCGTAGTAAAACGAATGCAAAATTTAGCAACGAGGTCAATGAAGCCTTAGCCCAACATGAGTCAAGTTTCGATCAGATGAACTTAGTTTTACAAGCAGTGTTAGTAGAGCTTCAAGCCCTCCGCACCTCCTGTAACCAAAACCCAAACTCTCATGATATCAACTCGTTCGCACCTGAAGGATCATCACATCCCCACACTTTCCATTCTCTTACCTCCAACGGTCAACCTCAACATCACCTTAAACTCTCCTTTCCCAGATTCGACGGGAACAACCCCACTGGCTGGGTGTACAAGGCAGAACAGTATTTTGATTTCAAAGACATTGCACCTGCCCAACAAGTCCAGTTAGCCTCTTTCCACCTAGAGGGAATTGCCCTCCAATGGCACCGATGGTTAAATAAGTTTCGTGGACCTCTCAAATGGAGCGAGTTCGTCAAGGCCATGTTGCTCCATTTCAGACACACTGATGAGGATCCATCGGAGTCACTCACAGGTCTCAAACAAACAACCACCGTGGTAGCTTACCAGGAAGCCTTCCAAAGGCTCTCACACCAAGTCGACGGTCTGCCTAAGGGGTTTCTCAGAGGGTGTTTTGTGGCAGGTCTTCAAGATGATATCCGCATCGACGTAACGATCAAGCAGCCCCACACATTGGCAGATACGATCGAGGTCGCACGACTGATAGAGGAGTGCAACCTGTTGCAAAAGAAACCCAGCCCTCTAGCCCGTTCATCACCAACCATGATGACACCCAAAGCACCAACCAATCTAGCGGCTGGCATCCTTGGTTGTGTTATTATTGCGATGAGAAATTTGTTCCCGGCCACCACTGCAAACGACCGTAGCTGTTTATGATTGAAGACTCTTCGCACCTGAGTCTTAAGGAAGATAAAGATGATTCACAGGAAATGGTAAGTCCTGAGGACATACCGAAAATTTCATTTCATGCCATTGCCGGTGCCAAACACCCACAAACCTTACATGTACTGGAGAATTTGAGGAACAAGAGATTAACGGTGCTCATCGACTGTGAAAGCACTCATAACTTCAATGACTAAGCTGTAGTCTCCAAGTTTGGGTTACTAGTAAATCAAAGCAAGTCATTCCAAGTTATGGTGGCCAACCAAGAGAAGATCAATTGTAATGGACAATGTCAAGCTCTCACACTGAACATCCAAGGACAAACCGTCACTACTGACTACTATATCCTTCCAGTCACTGCTTGCCAATTAGTGTTGGGAGTACAGTGGCTTGAAACTCTTGGGCCCATTGAAATGGATTTCAAGAGACTCACTATGAGCTACAAAAAGCATGGAAAGACATAAACCCTTCGAGGATTAAAGCGAGCAGACATCGGAGCATTAACAGACAAGGAATTCCATGGGCTACAGGGGATCAGATTATTCTTTCAAATAACCCCCTCCTATCCCAGCAACAAAAGTATATCCTACCCTCATGAGATGAATCGCCTCATATCCAAATTCTCACATGTGTTCGAACCACCCACCAGTTTACCTCCGAAAAAGATCCCATGACCTCCACATACCATTACGAACAAATTCAGGGCCAGTGAGGGTGAGACCCTACCGGTACCCCTATTACCAAAAAATTGAGATAGAAAAAATGGTGCAGGAGCTTTTGTAATCTGGATTGATAAGGCCGAGTAATAGTCCAATCTCATCACCCATAATGTTAATAGAGAAGACAGATGTCACTTGGCGAGTTTGTGTGGAATACCGAGCTTTAAACGACATCACCATTAAAGATAGACCATTAAAGATAGAGTAATGCTAGATGGATTTAAAAAGTAGATTTGATAATCTTAAACATTGATTTCACTGTAGATCTCAGCATTAATTGGGACTCACTACCTATTCAATGATTGAGATTATCAAGTCTACTTTTTAAGTCCGTCTAACATTACTCTTAAAGATAAATATTCAATTCTGGTGATCGACGAACTATTGGATGAATTGCATGGATCCCGATACTACTCTAAATTGGATCTACGGTTTGGATATCATCAAATTCGGGTACAAGGAAACGACATCCATAAATCGGCCTTTCGAACACACGAAAGGCATTACGAGTTTGTAGTAATGCCATTTGGCCTTACCAACACTACAGCAACCTTCCAAAGTCTCATGAATGATCTTTTCCACCCCTACCTGCGGAGATTTATTTTGGTTTTCTTCAATGATATCTTGGTATACTCCAAATCATGGGAAGACTATCTCACACATTTACAAATTGTTTTGAATATTTTGACCACTAATGATTTGTTTGCCAAGGAATCGAAATGTCAATTCAGTGTCATACAGGTTGACTACCTAGGGCACATAATCTCAAAAAAAGAGTATCGGTTGATCCTGCCAAAATACAAGCGGTAATTGAGTGGCCTACACCGACATCAACCAAAGGAGTCCAAGGGTTCCTAGGGTTGGTAGGATATTATCAAAAATTCATTCGTCACTTCGGAAGTATAGCAGCCCCGCTAACTCGACTACTAACCAAGGAAGGATTCCAATAGAATGAAGCTGCAAAAATGGCCTTCAAAAAGTTGAAGGAGGCCTTGACTAACCCACCAATCCTGTGCCTACCAAGTTTCTCTCAACAATTTGTGATTGAATGTGATGCTAGTGTAATTGGAATTGGTGCGATTCTCTTCCAGCAAAACCGACCAGTGGCATATTTTAGCGAAACATTAAAAGGTTCCGCTTTAGCCTTATCCGCTTACGAGAAAGAGATGTTGGCAATTGTCAAGGAAATTAGGAAATGGCGGCCCTATTTGCTTGGGAAACCATTTACAGTTCAAACTGACCAGAAGAGTCTGAAGTATCTCCTGGAGCAACGGATCACAACCCCTGCACAGACACGCTGGCTACCCAAGATTCTTGGCTACGATTATGAGATCGAGTACAGAAAAAGAACTGAAAACCAAGGTGCAGATTCTTTATCTCGAGTCATGGAATTCCACTTTTTATCCATCTCAGCACCTCAATCAGACTAGTGGTTGATCCTTCAAAAAGAAGTTCAACAGGAATCATTTTATGAAGAATTGAAAGCAACAGACTCGTCCCTAATCCAACGAGATGGGGTGTGGTTCCGACAAGGCAAGGTCCTTTTAAGTCCCGCTTCTATTTTGATTACAAAAATCTTAACGGATTGCCATGCATCCCCAATTGGTGGGCATTTTGGGTTCCATAAGACACTCGCCCGTATTAAGCAAGATTTTTTTTTGTCAAATATGCATCAAGCATTAAAAGAATTCTTGTAGCAATGTGATGTGTGCCAACGCTTCAAAACGAATTGCATGAAGCTAGCCGGGCTACTCCAACCTCTACACATGCCAACACAAGTGTGGACCGAAATATCCATAGACTTTATCAAAGGCTTACCATCTTCTCAAGGGTATACTTCCATTATGGTCATTTTCGATCGCTTAACGATGTATTCCCACTTCATTCCTTTAAGGCATCCCTTCACCGTCATCATTGTTGCCAAGGCTTTCATCTCCAACATAGTCCGTTTACACGGCATCCCAATCTCGAGCATTAGTGACCGAGACAAGGTCTTTTTAAGCACCTTCTGGCAAACATTATTCTAGTTCCAAGGCACCAAGCTATGTATGAGCTTGAGTTACCATCCTCAATCTGACGGCCAGAGTGAAGTCGTTAACCGAACCCTAGAACAATACTTTCAGTGCTTCCCAGGCGATCAACCACGAAAGTGGTTTAACTGCATTCCTTGGGCCGAATTCAGCTACAACACATCTCTCCACTCTTCGACTAAGATACCACCATTTGAAGCTGTGTACAGCATTCTGGCCCCTCGCTTGCTCACTTATGTTCCCGGAACCTCGAATGTTCAGGTAGTCGAGGAATACTAGTGTGACCGATATTCCATCCTCCGTGAACTATGACGCAACCTCTTGCTTGCTCAAAATTGAATGAAGTGCCGAGCCAACCAACATTGATGTGAGGTCTCCTTTGCTATTGGCGACTATGTGTACCTAAAACTACAACCTTACCGACAATCCTCAGTTGCTTTCCGGAGCTCCATGAAGCTTGCCTTGCGTTTCTATGGACCCTACCAAGTCATTGAGAAAGTGGGATCAATGGCCTACAAATTGGCATTGCCTCCATATTCACAAATCCATAATGTATTTCATGTAAGCCTGTTACGAAAATATTTTGGACCAGTCGCTTCCACCATTGCCCAACTTCCTCTTGTTTCTGAGACTGCAACTATCCTTCCACAACCTGAAGCTATTATCAATCGACGAGTAGTACGCAAAGGTAAATACCATCCCAAAACTAAGATTTTGGTAAAATGGGTAGGTGCTCCGGTGGAAGATGCGACATGGGAGAACGAATGGCGATTCACCAAGTCCTATCTTACATGTATCCTTGAGGACAAGGATCGTTAAATGGGGGGGGGGGGGGGGGGGAGGAATGATATGCGGTCATCTTGTTATCAGGTTGTTTAGCTGATATTGTTATCAAGTTGTTTAGTTGATATGGAATAAGTCATCTTGTTATCAGGTTGTTTAGTTGATAAGGAATAAGTCAAGATCAGGTTGTTCTGATTAGATTGTTATCAGTAGGAGTTACTAGTTTCTCTCCAAATCTTTAGTAGTATTGTTATTCCTTCATGTATTTAAAGCTTGGTTGTGTTCAATAAAAGAAGGATATAATACCCATAACTATTTCTTCTTCCCTTTCCACTATTATTCTCCTTTTTTTCCAAATTTTACGTGTCACTTGGTTTCAACCACGAGCACAATCTTTAACTATCCACTTATCTATTGACCCATATCATTCCTTATCTATTGACCCATATCATTACTTATCTATTGACCCATATTGAACTACTAGTAATAATCTACGCCTGAAGACACAATACAATTTAAAATTTGAGTACCCAAAAAAATCGAGCCATTATATCAAATCGCGATAACCATTTTTTAAAAAAATGGACAAAACTTATATTTGAAGACATTATGCATCACAAAATTGACCATTAATCATGTAATACAAATATTTTCAATAGCATACAAATATGTCAAGCAGCAAATATTTGGACAAATTCTTCAGAAACCAAAAAAAAGTATATAACGCAAATATAGATATCTAAAGTAATAGTATCACTCCATCATATACAAAAGACTAAACAAATTTTTATTTCAAATCATTAAACCAATCCAGATTCAATGAACAAAGATTTTTGTATGCACTTGGATTGACTTTTAGTATGAACAACAGTGTCCAAAGCCTTAAATCCTTCGATTTTGGGTGTGGATAATGTTTGTTGTTTTTACGATACTCATGTTCAATCTCAATAAAATACCTTAAGCATGTCTATGAAACAATTCTGCAATCAATGAATGAAAAATTAGAAAACAAATTCAAGACACTCTTATTGAACAAAAACCTTCAAAAAATAATAGTAGTTCAACAAAACAAAATCAAAAGCCCAACAAGAGGGTGTATGCTTAAAAATCGAAGAAAAAAAAAACCAAAAAGATGAATAGGAAAAACTTACAGGCTTGGATCTTCCATTGTTGAGGAAATATGCACAAAGCGACTAAAAAATTTAAATGCAACTAAATGACAAACACAAATAAATTCACAAACTCAGAAGTAAGATCATGATTACAAAAGTAGTGTACCAAATTAGTCCCATTAATACAAAGTCAAAATAACTAAAAAATTTTACACCTCTACTGATTAATCCATTGGCCATACTAATAATAGTAATAATTCCTACAAAAATAATGAAATGAGCCAATCTCTACGGAAAAAATAAATAAAGGAGTGTCATAAATCTTAGAAGGTCAATAACAAAAATATTTCAAAATAAAATATCAAAACTAACTCACCTGTAGCAAAAAAAAAAAAAAAAAAAGCTCAAAAATAGGCAGTAGTGTGTCCATAGCTCTTTGAGAATTTTCATCGAACATTGAAGATACACATGATCTCATGGTATACGTAGCCACCATCGAACACACGCCACCATACTCTATGAACGGTTGTCTAAACGAAGTTGCATTTAAAGGAATTAAACAATCTGATTCGACCTCTTGCCTATTCCACCATCAATACTTGTTGCCTGCCCCTCCCTCCTCCCTCCTTTTTTTTTTTTTGATGCCAAACCCATCTTGCATAATTGGAGAGGATTCCCTCTCTTGATGTGATGCTGAACAATCTCAAATAAAAATAAAAAAAGAAATCCCCCTTGATAGGCAATCCAATCACTAAAGTAATTCATCCACCAAATCGATTCTTGCATGTTGATAAAAAAAAAAAAAAAAACCCTCCTCATACGGACTAATCCCTAACAGTGAACTTGTGCGACTTCTTATCCAAAGAAAAATATTTTCCCATCCACGCCAATAAATAGTTAACAATTTTTTTTTTCCTTCCCACTCTTCGAACCTTCAATCCATCATCCAGTTTCTCCTTTGACTTGGCGGGTCCCATGTCTTCCACTAAAACCTCACTTAGGGGGTAATGATCATATCACATCTACAATATCAAGATTTTTTTAATAAGAAACCATTTACAATATCAAGATCGTGCATAACATATAATACCTTAACTTGATCAGGGAAAGAACATACACTATTTTGAAAATAAAAAATTAAAAAAAAAACCCATGAAAGAATTGAAGGCAGGACAAAAACACATGAAAGTTCTAAACATAGAGCTCTTGTATCAAACTGCAATCATGTAATCTAATAGCCCTAATTCCAAGTCCACAACACATACACCATTTTATAGATATCGGCTATAAAGTCAACTAACACAAATCAAATAACCCAAATCATTAGAATCAAATAATTCGGCGAAAATAAAAAACCTTCAAAAAATTTATTTAATAAACACAAAAATCAATCTAGAAAGTAACCCCACTAGTAGGTATAATGAAATATTTAAAAGAAATCCCAATTGAAAGGCAAAAGACAACCAAATAGAACACAGGGCAGAAGGGACCTCACCTCCCATAAATTCTATACAATAGAACTTATATGAATTGTACACCACCTAACATAACTCGAAACTATAGAATTCAGTGCAAAAAACCAATCTCAATTAGTTAACACTTGAAAGATTACCTGGGATAGGGGGTCGGGTGAGGACATGCTGATGGAGATTTTCATTGAATAAGTGGTGTGCATGTGTGGACTATGCATAGATAACAGAGAGAGTAGGGTGTGTGTGTGTGTGTTTGCGTTTTGCACTATGATATTTTTGGAAGAGGGTTCAGGGATGGGGAGAGAGAGAGAGAGAGAGAATGGAACCTGGTAGCACTATTTGCGACTGTTGGTGGCATCTGTGTTATGGCTTTTCATTTGTATACTGTTTGGGGAGTGAAACTTGATGTTGGCTGGTGAAGAGAGAGATATAAGGAGACTAACACACGCAAAGGGAATGGGGGGAAAAGGAAGGGTTTTCGAGAGGGGGTCTCTGAGTTGTGGTTGAAAGAGAGAGAGAGAGAGAGAAACAGAGAAATAAAGAAACAAAGAGAGTAAAAATTGAATACAGAGAGAGAAAATAAAATCTTTTACTGTTGGTGACGATGACTAGTAACGACGGTGGCTAGCAGTTGTGTGCGACATGTACGTGTGTTGTGCGTTAGGGCTGGGCTTGACTAGGGTGCTGTGAGATAGAAGAATGGGAGAAGAGATAGAGGGGTAGAGAGAGACAAATAGAGAGTTACCTGGGTGAGAGTGGTGGTGGCACTGGGTGATGCTGCTAGCACTGGCGGATGTCTAGCGTTAGAGAGAGAAAGAGAGAGAAGGGTGTAAGGGAGGAGAGATTGGGAGAGAGCGAGACAGAAGTAAGATTGAGATGGATTCCATGATAGAGATTTTAGGGATGAATTTGAAAGACAGTTATAGAGGCGTGAAATATTGGAAGAGAGAGAACTAGAAGTGAGATTGACGAAGATTTGAGAAATTTCAGATAATTGAGGGAGGCGAGAGTTAGGAAATGTGATTAGGCAAAAAATAAAATTCAACATTCACCGTACACTGTCGAATCAATATTTATGAAATTATCTGAATTGTTTTTTATGTTGAGATTACATTATCCGTTAGTCATATTTATATTTTATCTCAAAATGATCTGCACCGATCTTTATCTCCAAAATTCAAAATCACCACTATTTTATTCTATAGATAAAACGACCTAATTGTAAACTATTAAACTCCAATAAACAAGTTTACTGTACAGTACTTCAGCTCTTGTGAAGACGTCCATGGCTTTCAAGAGACTCAGCAAACTGATTCAGATATCGGTCTTCTCCATTCTTGTCTGTGAATAATAATTCACTCAGTTCCTTAGCTTTCTCCCTGTATATCCTTCCTTCGTTCTTCGCCATTACCAACCTCAGAGACTCAGCCACCGAGTTCCTCGTAAACGACCCATCTTCTTCATATCTCTGTATTTGTATCCCCACCTTCTTCTCCACAAGAACCAGAGCATTCAACCCTTGGCCCACAAAGAACGGCAATGAGTGGGTGCCCAAACATTAAACCCTCTACAATTGAACTCCAACCAAAGTGAGTCAAGAACCCGCCAATTGAGTCATGAGACAATATCCTGAGTTGAGGCACCCAACTCGTCCAAACAAGGCCACGCCCTTTGATTCGCTCCAAGAACCCATGTGGCAACTCAACCGAGTCAGACTCGGTCGAACCCGGGGGCTTTCTTAAAGCCCAGATGAAAGGTAACCCAGACAGCTCCAACCTCAGAGCCAACTCAGTGACATCATTTTGACTCAGTGTCACCTCGCCCCCCAATGCAACATACACCACAGACCCTTTGTTTTTGCTTTCAAGGCAGTTTCTGATAGAGACCCATTTCTAATCTTTCTCATCGCCGTAATCTTTCACCGACGGAGGTATTAATCCTACTGGAATTACAGGCTTCTGGTAAAGCTCTTCGAGAAGCTTCAACCAAGCAGGTTCGAGCTCGTTACAGTCTCGGAAAAGAATGACATCACACCCCATAATCGCAGAGCCCAAACGATAAGCATCCGAAAACCCTGAATCGGTGTTTTCAATTGCTCTCTGGATCCAGTTGGTCTCGTATCGCCGATACGCTAGGTTCGTCGGAAAAGATACCCATTCAGGTGGCACTGTAAAATCCTCCGGCGACTTCCGTGGATCTGATACGTCGATCATTATAGAAGCTGATCATCCACTGGTAGTGATCAACCTAGCGTTGAAGATGGAGAAGAAGGCACACGAAATGCCGAGCTTTGAAGCAATTGAGGGTAACCCGTGAGGGGCAAAGTCATAAATAACCCAATCCGCTGATGAGTTTTCGAGAAATTGAGAGAGATCATTTTCGAGACCATCAAAGGCCATCTTGAGGAAGACGATGTCCTCTGCACAGACATCAATGGTGGCCTCTGCATGTTCAGGGAGATTGTGGATTCGAGGTAGAGGAAGGTCAACTAGGTTTATGAGAGAGGCTAAGCAGGGCCGGCCCAACAGTAATAGGCGTAAAAAACCTGGGCTTTAGGCTTCATTTAAAAAGAAGGCCCAAACTTTTAAACATCGTAAATAATGTAAAAAGAAAATTTATAAAAATATATGTCTAATCAACTATTTTAGACCCATAATTAAATCTAAATATTGAATATCTAAAAAAAATTAACAATATAAAAAAAAATTGAAAAGTCATATCAAAGTCACCAAAATAATTTAAAAGTCAAATCATATCTTCTTTTTAACATTCTATCTATATCTCTCTTTCTACCAAACCAACTATACAAAAACAATTTTTTTTTCTTTCTCTCTCTCTCTCATTAAACTGAAAAAAAAAAAAAAAACTCTTCTTTTTCTCTCTCTCTCTCACAATGCTCTCAAAACTTGAGAATTCACAGAACTCATTACGCATAGATCAATTTTTTTTTTTTGTCAAGTGCTACAGCGGAGAACTTACAGATCACTCAGGTGACTGATTCGGCGGCGGTGACTTGGCCTCCACTCGATTCTCCATCATCAACTCGAGTTTTCATTGCAACATAAGGGACATAGTTTAGAATCAAAAAGCCAACATTTGAGATCATTCAAACCAGATTCTATTGTTTTATAATTTTAAAATTTTTTGTTATATATTTTTAACTATACTATATATTGTGTTTGTTTGATTGTTTTATAGTTATAATATATTAATAATATAGCACCTAGAAGACAATCAAGTGGATACGAAATTTTTTTTTAAAAAAAAAAAATAGATCTACTAATAGAATCTCAAAAAGATTTCTTGATAAATTTGTTACTAGTAACAAAAATATTGTAACAAAAAATTTAGATGAAAATTTGAAAATGAACAAATAGATAATGAAATAGAAGAGAATAAAATAAAAAATATTGAAATTGGAAATTTTGAAATAAAAGATAATGAAATAGAAGATAATAAAATAAAAAAATACTAAAGTAGAAAATATTGAAATAAAATATAATAAAATAAAGGATAATGAAACAGAAAATAGTGAAAAAGAAAATAATGAAATAAAAGATATTGAAATTGAAGACAATCAAAATCTTAATGAAACAAGTGATTATAGTCATATAAATATTTATAATCCAAGTCAATGGAAAAATATTGATACGAAATTAAAAGATTTATTAGTAGAAAATGGTCCAATTAGATATAATAATTTAGATTTTCCTAGGATGAATACTCTAGACATTGTTCTACTACACAATATATTCGAAAATTAACAAATAGGGAAACACTTGATAGAATATGGCTAGTATATTCAAAAGATTTGGATAAAATATTTTATTTTTGTTGCAAGTTATTCAATATGAATTATTCTACAAGTAAACTAGCTAATGAAAGAACAAAAAATTTGAGAAATATTGGTGTTAAACTTAAAAATCATGAAATAACTAATGAGCATAAAACTAATATGAATACTTGGATACAAAATGAATTAATAAGTTTGTTAGGAAATGAAGTAAGAAGCATATTAAAAAAGTTAAAGAAATAAAATACTATTCAATCATACTTGATTATACTCCCGATGCAAGTCATCAAGAACAAATGTCTCTCATATTACGATGCGTAGATATTACAATAAGTCCAATAAAAATAGAAGAATATTTTTTAGAGTTTATTAAAGTAGATGATACGAGTGAAAAAAGTTTATTTGATAAACTTATAGATGTAATAAGTAATTTTGAACTAGATATTAATGATATACGAGGACACGGATATGATAATGGGTCTAATATGAAAGGAAAACATCAAGGTGTACAAAAAAAGTTACTCAATATAAATCCTAGAGTATTTTACACATCATGTAGTTGTTATAATTTAAATCTAGTACTTTGTGATATGACTAACTCTTGTCAGAAGACTGTATTATTTTTTAGAATAGTACAACGTATACATTTATTATTTTTCTCTTACACAAACGATGAAAAATTTTACAAGATAATATTCAAGATTTAACTCTTAAGTCATTATCACAAACACGTTGGAAAAGTCGAGTTGAAAGTGTTAAAATAATAAGATTTCAAACTCTAAGAATAAGAGATGCATTATTGTAATTATCGAAAATTAGTGAAGATCTTAAAACAAGAAGTGAAGCAAATTGTTTAGCAACATATGAAGTTGAGAATTTTGAATTCTTATTGGGCATGACTATTTGGTATGATATTTTATTTTTGGTTAACTTAGTTAGTAAACATTTACAATCAAAAGACATGCATATTGATATTGCTATAGATCAATTAAAATGTCTCATTTCTTTTTTTGAAAAATATAGGGAAAGTGGATTTACAAATATTATAATTTCATCTAAAGAGATTGCATGTAAAATGGGTATAGAACTTATATTTCGTTAAAAATGTAAAGTTCATAAAAAAAAATAATTTGATAAAAATATTGATTATGAGGTAACACAATCTATTGAAGAATCTTTTAGAATTGATTATTTTACATATATAATTGATCAAGCTATTTCTTCACTAAAAAATAGATTTGAACGATTACAAAAGTAGGAAATTTTTTTTGATTTTTTATTTAACTTAGAAAAATTAAAATCATTGAACAATGATAGTTTAAAATAATATTATTTGGATCTCGAATATTTCTTAAAATACGAAATTTTTTTCGATATTGATGGTTTAGATTTATTTTTAGAACAAAATATTTTAAAAGAAATTTTGGAAACGAAAGAAAATACTCCAATTGAGATACTAAATTATATAAAAATATTAGATTCTTTTCCAAATGCATGCATTGCTTATAAAATATTATTAATAATTTCTGTAACAGTTGCTTCTGCAGAAAGAAGCTTTTCAAAATTAAAATTGATAAAATCTTAACATCGACTATGTCACAAGAAAGATTAACTGGATTAGCGATACTATCAATTGAAAAAGACATGGTAGCAAAACTTGAATATAAAATCTTAATTAATAATTTTGCAACTCAAAAAGCAAGAAAAATTAATTTTTAAATAAAAAATATTAACACTAAACATAGAGAACCTTGTTTAGAAGTATCATTTTAGGTCTCAAATTATCTTGAACCACCCCTGAAAATTATCTTGAACCACCCCTGAGGCTAAGTTTGAGGAAGTTTGGGAGGCGTTTGATATTTCTTGGGGTGGAGATGAAGGACACTTTGTGACCCTTTTGGGCAATGAACTTGAAGAGATCAAGGAATGAGATCATGTGACCAAAAGCTAGCCATGGGAACATCACTACGTGTAGCTTGGATTTGCTGGCCATGGCGGTGAGAGGGGCGCAGAAGCTTTGTGTGTGGCTGGTGTGACCGACGGAGAGATTCTGAAACGTAAGCGTTTCCTTGTGTGGGAGACACTCTTACTCTTTAGGAAGGAAATATCAGAGCTACCGGTTAAATTACACCATCTAATAATAAATTTATAAATAAGTTAAAAAAAAATACTACATAATCCAAAAAAATTTTAAACTCAAATACATATTATCTCTTGAATGAGTGTGAGATAAGTAGATTCCACAAAAAAAGTTGATGAGACTCATTCATTCAAGAAATAATATGCATTTGAATTGAAATATTTTGATTTCATTCTCGTACCAAAACAAGTATCATTTAGGGATGAGACCCACTTTTAATCATAACATGGATGGTAGTGGACCGAAGCAGGGGTCGGGGGTATAGTTTCCAATCTTGTACCCACTTAAAAAAATTCGTCCATCTCCAATCTACCTCTATTAACGAGTATAGTTTTCATCTTTATTTCTGTTCGCGTGTAAATTTGTAATCTCCGCCCCTGCCATGTCCCCTGCCTTCATCTCCGCCCCTGCCCCTTCCACCTTACCTGTCCCAACCTAAGCCAACACAATCTAAAATTTTAAATAAATCTAACATTCTAAATAATCAAATATAATATAATTAAAAGTTTATATTTCATGTAAATCTAACACAACATCATGCAACACAATATATGTAACATAATATAATTTAGTATAAAAAAAATATAAAAAAATATAAAAAATATGAAAATCTATATTTTTACAAGTCAAAACAATAAAAAAATAAAATAATTTTTAATAATATGTAGATTTGTATTCACAACACATGTATATATATAATAATAATAATAATAATAATAATAGATAAAACGGAGAGGGGAGAGGCGAAGTGCGAGTAAGTTTTAGTACATTCCCGCCTTCATTCTCACATGAGTTTGTATGAATATTCTCGTATACGTTTATTATCTAATATATATGACCTATTTTTTTATTTGAATAGAATTTGTTTAAACGAATACTCATTTTTATCTAGTGCATTGTTCATATCTGATATCAATATTATTAAGGTACGAATATGAAATAGGACCAAAATTTGAACTCGACTTTGTACCCACTGTTTTGTCTTTTCGTGCAGGACTTGCTACTAACTTTTAAGAGGAGAAAATATTGAGTGTCATGTCATCATTAATTCAAAAATAAAAATAAAAATTAGTGAAAGGTCCTTCTAAATGATTATTTACGCCATTAAATTCAATCATAGCACTTTTAAGATGATAAGGATAAAGTTAAGTATACTTTTTTATCCTCTAATTTATTTTAATTAAATATATTTTAAAAATAATCATTGAACCTTTAGTATCTCAAATTAATTAAATATTGTTCTATCACAAATGCTCTCTCTCTTTTTGTTTCTTAAGTTA